GAATCATTGTGGCCCGACATTGAGTCCACAATGAAATCGACTTAACACTGCCCACCTGTAGTTCTACCCTGACGATTGACAGCGGACTTCGAATTGGAGATTGGGCAGCGAATAGCCGATGAGGCCTGGAGGAGTGAGGCTAGGATCTGGGTAATTTCATCCGGTCTGAATCTGGGTGTAGGAGTTCACGTTTTTCAAGTTAAGAGAGAGTTACATGGCAAAGTGTATGGTTCCGTATCTCGTGAAGTGTATAATCACTTATATCGCCACATGGGCTGATTCATTGTGAAATCGCCCAGTAGGCAATAAACAAGCGTGCGGGCGTGTATGTGGGTGGACACTTTCTGTTTATCCTATTTCACAAAAAGAGGCTCTAAAGAATTGATACATGGGAGCTTGTATCAGTTGTCTTTCAAGTGCTAAGATAAGGTGTCCGTCCGGGTTATTCGACTTGCTTGTCCTTTTGATCGTCCTCTACGTGCAGTACGTCCTCTGCTGCCTGGAGTGCTGTTTAGTATAGTCCATCTGACCGAATCCTCTTTGTCATGGTGGTTTACAATGCCGATGTATTCAGCAGAAGCGGGCCGCAGTATAAGAGTGCTGGAAAAGACCGCCATCTTTGTAGCCGCAATAGTGAACAAATACGACACATGCTTGTTATCTTATGCTCTGAAGCATGTCCAGATTCTTAGACTTCTTTGTCGTTTGAATCATCATCTACGTGCAGAACCGAATTTCCTGCCCCGATTGTTGTTTCGCCTAGGCTATCTGACCAAATCCTCTTCGTTGTTGTAGATTGTTAGGTTGAAGTAGTTAGTAGAAGAAGGAGGAATTTGAAGGGTGCTGGAGGGAGTCTAGATCGCTAATGCCGTAGTAGTTTACCGTTTGGAGGCATGTTCGTTTCCCCATGCTCTGCAGCGGTACCCGACAATCGTTAACTTTTATACTGTTTCAGAAGCTGCTGCTTCTACCAGGACGCACAGTAGGAGTTCAGCCCCACATGCCCACAGCGTTGCCAACACAACGCATTCTCAGTTAAAAGACCTATGCATGCGCAGGTTCATGTTTCCTCAACAACTTTGAGAAAAAGGAGTCGTATTGCGCGAGTTTGATATTTGAATTATGTACCGTCAACTCAAAATTCTCGAATGCCGTATCTAGAACCAAAAACACCGATGTCGCATTCCTAAATGGACAAAGGTAACTTATGCAGGCCCTTCATTTACCCCAGCATTTTTTCCTGCGAAAACGGTAGTCATTGAGTTTCGGAGGGTGAGGAAATAGAAGAGGTGATAACTGTAAAGTAAATAAATGTAGTCGAAGTTTCTTCACGCGGCCGCTGGGATTAAGTCGTAAATTGAAGGTGAGCAAAGCGCTTCGC